TGGTTAACTCCAGAAAAGCAGCTGGACCCGACTTAATTCCTGGTCGGGTGGTAAAAGACTGTGCTGATCAGCTAGCCGGGATATGGACTATAATTTTTAATCGATCCCTGACACTATGCGCAGTTCCCGTCTGTCTCAAGGCTTCCGTCATCGTTCCACTGCCTAAAAAGTTGCCTACAAACAGTCCGAGTGACTACAGGCCGGTGGCACTAACTTCAATCTTAATGAAGGGCTTTTAGCAGTTAGTTCGGAAATATATTATCTCCTGCCTTCCTGATCCCTTTGATGGGCTTCAGTTTGCTTATAAAGAAAATAGATCAACCGAGGATGCGATCAATACTGTGCTTCATATGGCTTTATCCCACTTGGAAACACAAGGGAATTATGTAAGAATGCTGTTCGCGGACTTTAGCTCTGCTTTTAACACCATTATACCCCACAGATTAATAGACAAACTTAAAGATCTTGATTTTCCAGATTCTATCTGTCTGTGGATTTTGGATTTTTTAACAAATCGTCCACAAAGGGTTAAACTGAATGACTACATCTCTAGTGACAAGATACTCAGCACTGGCACTCCACAAGGTTGTGTCCTTAGTCCACTACTGTTCTCCATTTATTCATCGGATTGCACCAATAACCATCCCAATAATAGGATTATCAAATTTGCAGGCGACACTACACTAGTAGGACTTATTTCCGGGGAAGATGAGTCTGCGTATCGGATGAGGTATTACAGCTATCCCGCTGGTGCAAAAAAAACAATCTTCTATTTAACATCCAAAAAACCAAGGAATTTATAGTGGACTATAGGAAAAAAAGAGCAGGCATTCAGCCACTGTATATAGATGGAGTTTGTGTGGAACAGGTGGTTGAATGTAAGTTTCTTGGGACCATCATAACAAATGACCTGACTTGGAGTGCAAACACCGCTGCGTTAATCAGGAAGGTGCAACAACGGTTGTATTTTCTAAGGATTCTTAGAAAACAACAATTGACTGAGAGTTTGTTAACCACCTTCTATCGGAGTTCAATTGAGAGCATATTATCCTACTGTCTCTGTGTATGGTTCACGAGCTGCACAGTGGCAGAGAAAAAGGCAATTCAAAGGGTGATTAAGACGGCCCAAAACATCATTGGCTGTTCACTCCTCTCTTTGGAAGAATTGTATAAGAACAGATGTAAGAGGAAGATATCTAACATACTGAAAGACTCCTCTCATCTGGGACATCAGCTCTTTGAACTATTACCATCAAGAAGGAGATTCAGGGTATTGAAAGCAAGGACACAAGGTGTTGAAGCTTCTCCAAGAGCTTTATCATTAAAAAAAGTTTAATGATAGGGTGGGAGAGAAAACTGTCCTCTTTGACTATTTTCACAATCCATGGATATCTATGATCTGCAATGATATTGCTCACACTTCAGAGAACTCTAGTGTAGGATGGGGTTTGAAGTCCTTTGTTTTTTTTAACAATTTAGCTAGGAAAGATAACATTACACACATTCTTCTTATTGGAGCTGTTATTCTTATTTGGGTTGAGACAGAAACTAAGTTTCCATCCAAGCTTCCAGTAATCTAATACAGATGACAGATTATGTACTATGTCCAGTTTAAATCCTCCCCTATACTATATAAAATTTCAAACAAAAATTCAGGATATTTTATTTATTTATTTATTTATTTATTTATTTACTTACTTACTTACTTACTTACTTACTTACTTACTTACTTACTTACTTACTTACTTATTTTTTATTCAATTTATACCCCGCCTATCTGGTCAATTCGAGGGACGTGGTGGCGCTGTGGGCTAAACCGCAGAAGCCTGTGCTGCAGGGTCAGAAGA